CGCTCTGAAATCCGCACTAAAATTCCGGAAAAAATTCACTTCTGTTACACTTTGTTTTAGAGCTCTGTGGGAGGAGCAACGACTAAGGGCGGAGTTTTCCACCTCATGAACACCAATTTTTTGATTTCAGGCCAAAAAGAAATACGGTGAGTGTGCAATTGAAGCTTTATATGTGAAGCACGCGTAATGTGGTTTGAAGGCCTACAGATTGTAAGGGCTTTATCGATTTATCGATTTACTGATTTATCAAATCACCTTAATTCAAAAACTTGAGAGCTAGCACTGGTATTAATGCTAGAGCATTAACGATAATGTGAAATTTATTTCGTACTTTAGAAAGTAGAAGCTTCTAAACAATTTGGGAGGAGTTTTCACTATGGACGGATTTTGCCTTTCCAAGCTTATCATTTTTCATGTTATTTATCAATGGAAATTACAGCTGTATTAAGTAATGTATGCAAAGTATGTAAGTGGGCATCTCGGAAGTCAGCAACTTTCAGGGTTCGCGGCTGATTTATTTGTTTCTTTATTTGTCTCATAATGTTCCATAAATTGGACTCTGCGGATAACACATAACAAAACTGGGGCATATGTATGGTAGTAAGTTGTGATTATATTTCTGAATGCGCAAGCCAACAAAATGTGGGGAGGGGCTAAAACTATGGGAGGAGTTTGCTTATCCATTCAACATTCTTTCTCGATTTTTTTTTACCATAAAAATACAGTTAGTGCAAATGGATGTTTGCATGTGAATGAGCAAGTCGGTTAAGCTCGAGTTTTTTCAAATCTAAGATTTTTTCAAAACGAGATCTCTGAGTTTTGACCTCAAAATGCAAGTGGTTACTTTTCAAGTGGAAATAAACATCCTATGGAATTTAGCTTCGCTTTCTCAGTTGTTGTCAAAAGTTGCATACCTTAAAGAGATTGAAGTAGCAATCATTTCATAAAACAATAAATCATTGAGACAAGTAAAATTGTACTAAATTTTCTTATTTTCTGAATTTTAACTTATAAAATTGTTATTTGAAAATTCTGGAAGTTTGCAGCATTCACACAGGAATTAAACCGTTTTTCAATGTAGTACAAACCTCAGGCTTGGCTTGATTCTGAGCGATTAATCATATTTTGAAGAGGTTACCCGGCTAGAATTGCAGGATTTGTGGTCGATTATTTATTACATACAGTTATATAGGACAATTACCGTAATAGTCCTTTCGTCTATGCCACATAACCCATGATGAATGTCTGAGACGTCTTTTATCCTTTTAGGACCTGCTACAGTCATTTCTGCAATTTATGGAAGTTCGCAAAAATTCAAGCTCACAGCTAAGGCGAAACCACTTCTGAAGGGCTTTCCAGTGTTTTGATGAAGTAATAATAAGTCTGGATGAATTTATTCTCTCAGAAGTTCTGATTTGACCCTAGATAGTCCTATAAGTACTATCCATCAGTCCTTCGTTGGGGGAGGGGAAGGGAGGGGGGCAAAATTTTTTCGAATAACTACGCTAGCCACAAGCAGAAAATTTTTTGGGTGTGCTTTATGACTTTCGAGTGTCTATAACTCCCAGATGTATGTGGTATGTGGTAAGTAAAATTAACGTAATGGTTAGAATTTTGCCGTTCATAATAAATGCCTCATACAAATTCTGCAATTCTGGTCGGATAACCTCTTCAAAATATGATCCCTCTATAATAAAGCGCAGCATATGACTCACCGTATGTGCCTCCGCCGCGTGTGAAGCCTTCCCCCCCCCTTGCGCGCTGGGAGCTGCTGATGACGTCACGGCAGCGAGCTCCATATGCAGTCAACAAACTTTGACTGCGAAGAGTTTCGAAAACATATGCTGGCGACCTGACAGAGTCAAGCGCAACAGCACATAACTGAACGTCAGAACGATGATACCACAGCAAAATCTCAAAGTTAGTTTTTTTTACAAATAAGTTCCTGCAGGGGTTTTCGTTGCTACCAATTCATAAAATGTTCTCCCCTTCCCTAAACTGTATAATGTTATACTGAATTCACACATTTCGTTAATGTGCGGGCTTACCGCTGCATGCCATCTTGGTGCAAATTCTGTTCTCGGCACTCCTAGATTGATAGTCCCTCTTCCTCTCATACATAAGATTTATATGTGGATTGATACTTCATTTGATTGTCGATCACCAAGATTCATCATAAAAGCAAGGTGGAAATGTCTAACAAAGCTAGGCGTTTCCTTTATTGCTGTTGAGCAGTGAGTTTTATTAAGTGAGGTGCGCAATATCATTATTCTCAATCCTGAGAAAGTAACGAAATCCAAAAATGTTACTGTATAAATCTGTCGCTGCTGCCATCTGATTGAGCAGAATCCATGTCATTTCCAAAGGTACTTCCTTCAGATGTTTCAGTTTCTACGATCTGGCAGTTGAATGGGATAGTGATTGCTTACAAAGTTGCCCTGTAGCCCCATCGCCCTGTTTTTCTTTGTCGACAGCAAAAAAAATCGGTCTGTGAAAACCTCAAAACGACTTTTCAAACAGATAGCAAAAAGGATTTTCGTATTGTAATAAACATGTTATCTCTCACCTTTTCTAAAAATATCCAGCGTTTTGAGCTATGTAAGATGCGATTTCATAGCCTAATGCACTTTCGAGATCTCTTACTGCTTACCAACATTGGTTTGATTCTTTGTGGTGTTCCTTCCTTCACCTTCTTATACAGGACCTCAATGTTTACTCTTTCATCCACTTTTTCACTGATGCATTACGATGAGAAATTTCAATCCGATGACTTTGCAAAGTAGCTGCAATTTTGGAACGGTTGCAGAACATTTGATTTTTTTTTGTAATGGATTTTGAAGGTTCTACTCCTACTAAATAACTAAACGTTTGTGAAGCGATTACAGCATGTGTTTAAGTTTTGAATTTCGGGAATGATGCTGGATGTACAAAAGGTGGTATCTCACATTGATTGTATGTGAATGGATGTCGCTATTACTTGGAAAATTAGCTCCTGCTCTCCTTCAAATCGCTTTTAGAAAGATTTTGATTCTCAATAGTAATTTCTTTTCTCAAAGCTCCTCTATCGTAACCCTACAGTTACGAAGAGCGCACGATGGATCGTTCTGTACTGTATCTGAAATGAAGCTAAGTCAGAATGGTAACCAAAGGTCTGCGAAAGAGGTTAGGATAAGAGAGGCGTAAGCGACCAAACAGCGGGGACATTTCTTTGGGACGTCCTACGTTAGAAATCGGCTTTTCTTCGCAAGTCTCTTTTACTTTGCAATGCGTGCGATAATGATGCCTAACTGGACGTGGCTGGGGAAAATAAAAAAGAGAATGCTAAAGTAAGACTGCCTGTGATCTTGATCGAAAGTGTTCCTCTAACTTCTACGGCAAGAAAGAAAGTGATAGAAGCGATTGTTAATCTTCAATAACCGTGTCATCTCCTACTCCTGGAATCAAAAATTTGCTTTCACACATTGGATTTGGATGTACGTTAAGTGATCTGAGTCCTTTTCAGGGACACTTATATGGTGAACGTCCGTCAAGCTTTGATGTAGATATCGATCAAAAGTTACATCATGAAGCCTATGTTGTGATTGACTTTCACGTGGAATCAGCTTTGCGGTTGCGGACATATAGTTTTTTGGGAGGTTGGGAATCTTCGCACTCAAAACAAGGTTTCTGAAACCCTCTGGTCTGTTAAACCTAGAACTCGCTTGACCTCCACTTAGCATATTTTAACCAAAATCAGCGCGATTCTAGCCCAACAATCGGGCAGAGTTGACCACAAAAGATAGAGTACAAAACTTACAAACAATGCTTGCTGTTCTAGCTTGAATGTGTTTTTCTTTGGTTCAGACAATAAAGAATAAAATTTGTTATTTAGTAAGAGTACTAAAGGTTAAGCTCCAAACAAATGGCTGAAGAGAGTGTCCCACTGTAATAAACATGTTCTCTTATTTCTAAAAATATTCTCTTATCTCCCCAGAATTATCCGCGTCTTCCGTCACTATAATAGCTTCTGGAAGGCTTAAGTTTCTCTTAAAATCTTCCTTCATGTTGTGAGATCTTTTCTTTTGAAAGAAAAAAAGATCAAGCAAAAAGAGATTTTCGGAAGTATTTAGATATTCTTACAGCAAAGCATTTCTCCAAAGTTTCTCGTGTGGGATAATGAATTATTTGTTGCCTTCAAATAAAGTAAAACTCAGTCCCCAAACACTCCCGTTTTCACTCAAAGGTATTTTGCATTGAACATTTTGAACAAAAACCAAGACCTAAAGTTTAGCCAAACAGTTCGACGTAGCTGAAATGCAAAGAAAGTTATACGAATGCTTATCGAATAGCGCCTGAATTGTTGTAAATATCTTTTTTATGCTGTAACTGCGGAATACAGTGTCTGTCTTACCAAGCAACCAAAAGTTAACGATTCCATCAGATGACATAAGAGATTGTTATATGAATATGTCATCTCTAATCTTTCAATAGAAAATAGTGTCCACTTTCGACACTGATTTGAGTCCATTTTGAAGATATCTCCTTTATCGTGATGAACATCTGATCATTAGGGTTATAGGCCGATCGACTTACATTAGGAAGCCGGCTTCTCTCAACCCACGAAATCTCATTGACTTTGCAAAATTTTTTTCCAGATTTGCTATTTAGAACCGAAATAGTGCTCCTTTCTGAAATTTTTTGTGCGCGCGGAAAGCCCGCGAGAATGCGGCCAATGGGCCGCAATTTAAACATGCAAAGACCGCTATATTTCTCCGAACGTTCGTTCAAGTCGGCCAGAATTATTCCAAATTTCTGCAGGCGAACCGCAAGAAATCAGCGAATTATTTTTCCGGTGCCAGCTTGCTCAAAATTCGCATGGCCGCCTGCCCCCAGCGATTATCTGAGTCCTTGTCCAGGCCAGAATTAAAGGGTACAGGTCCGATATCTTCACTTTCTCACATTACTAGCCAATACTGTAACACAACATACTTCTGTATACTTCACATCAAGGGCTTCATTGCAAAGATTTATTAACTGCTTCACATTCTAGCAAACTTGTTTGTACTTAGGGCATCCCTTTTCGTCCAAAACGGTCTCTAGGTGGCAGCCCGGCTTCAGTTGAGGTGGTGTGTACATCGGACACTCGGGTCGAACTTAAAGGGCAGTTTTAATCAAAGACTGCAACATTGCACAAAGATCAAACGGCTATATGTGTTTTGCTCACTATTAAAGCCTTTCTAAACTGCATGGCTTGTCTTTAGCGCAATAATAAATTGAAAAGTAGGAATAGGGGTTTATTTACAAGCGAGTACGACTTGTATTCTAAGATAAAGATTTTGAAGATCGCAGGCTACCTGATGCCTTGTTCCTCATTGTAAAAGCGAATGAACTCACTTTTTTATATGAAATAAAAAGCTTAAAGACAGTGGGGCAAAGAAGAACAGTATATGTCGAAAAATTGATGCAGTAGATTGCCTACACCGCAGATGTGAAAACAGAGCAAGTCCGGGCGTACAGCATGCTGCCCCGCCAAAATAAACTGCCCAAAACCCGTGCGCACAAGCCATTTTTAGGCGCGTCCGGTCGACCGCGCGATTTACATCCCACTGTCATAAGCGACATGTCGCAATGTTATATCTATGAAGGTTCTGCAACGACTCTGCGGCCCGTAGTAAAGCTCGATCAGTTCAGGTGAATTGAACTTATCCCATCAGTTCACCTCACGTCAGGTGAAGTGATGACCGCCCACCCTCCCATGCTATAAGAATGGAGAGTGAACTGATAGTTGACCATCTGTCCACCTACTGCAGTCAACTCTTCCACATCAGTTCACGTTCAAATGACCTGAACGTGAACTGATGTTAGAGTGATGCAAATAGTGCGTAAAAGAGGAGACGCAGGCAAGACTCCCGTAAGTTGCTCCTGAGTAACTTACGATACACATCAGTCAGGTTAAAAATGCAGACAAAATTTGCGCAAAACTGCACAACCCGCGCCCGAAAAGGAGAGGATCGATGAACAGCTGATTTTGGCGAGGATAACAAAAAAAAATTCTTCTTTTTTTGTAAACCTTACTGGTTTTTTTTCACTAGCTGTCCAATACAAGAACTCATTTATTCATTTCATTAAATTCACACTGCGATCATTTCGTTTTTTCATAAAATTTTCGTCACAAATTGTGCTTTCGTTTTATCCGTGCATTTGCTAGGCGAAATCCTTGATAGCGGTCACATCGATTGCGTGGTAGCCGCTATCAAAGATTGCCCATCGATGCATCAAAACGTGTGTCGCTAGTCGGACTCGAACCACGGCCGCGCGCGTGTAATTCCAATCGCTTACCCGTTTGACCAAACCAACTCAAGTGTTTCGTTATTCAAGAACGCACTTGATTGTAATATCTCGGAAGCAATCCGCATCCGGATCAATGGCTCGCTGGATGCTAGACTGAGGCGTGATGAGATCAACGCCGGTCCGCGTCGAGAGAGATGCCCTGATGGGGGGTTTACTACGGGCCTGTGTCTCCAACCTCAGCGGAAACGTTTCACTCTTCCAGATTTAAAATGAGAATTAGGCACCCTCCATACTTAATCCTCTTGATCCGCTGAATCCACTTGATCCGCTTATTCCGCTTCGTGTAAAACACGCGCACTTAGCAGTGTGTCATTTGGCGCCGCGTAGGTAAAAAGCAATCTCGTATGGTTAAGCAAATTCGCTGTACGTGACGCCAAATGACAGACTGCCGAGTGCGCGCGTTTTACACGAAGCGGATTGAGCGGATCAAGCGGATCAAGTGGATTAAGCGGATCAAGAGGATCAAGTATGGCGGATGCCTTAGGAAACACTGGTTTTCGCCATTTGCGCTATTTGAGGTGAATCTTTGGACTCTGCGCATCGGATTACCCCAAGGCCCCCCCCCCCCCCGACTTGGAGGCATGTTCCGCCGCCAGGTCGCCGTCAACTTTACGCGAAGTCGGCGGGAACACCGACCTCAAATCTATGCCCTCCAAAACCTTTTCACCACGATTTTCCTGGTCGAGGAGGTCATTGTGACCATAGAGAACCTCACTTGGCAATTGGAGTTTCTAAAAACCTCCCTGGACAAAGTTGTTGCGGTAGGCGGGAAGTGTGGCGGCAACTTCGCGAGCTGGCCTGGCGGCATCTTGTCGAAATTTTAGCGCTGAGGGATGCCGTCAGGTCAGAGAGCACGAGAAATACCGTGCTCATTTGAGAGATAGGTGCCACCACCCCGACATGCCCCTACCACGTCGAGATGGCGGCACCTTGCTGGCGGCGTCTGCAAGTTTGCGTCGCAGGCAATATCACACAATTTACGTTCAGCAGAAAAGCCAAAAAAATTTGTTTTCTGTCGAAAATCTATTATTTTTGCCATTATATGGTTTTTCTCCTCCAATTTAATGATATGTATGCACAAGAAACGACTACTGATATTACAACACCAGAAAGAACGCCATTTTATTTTGAAATTGCTTCAAATCTCATTTGCAACGGTTTCGTCTCTCGCTCGCTCTTATCAATCAGCTGTTTTTTCAGGTCAACGTCCATCGCGCATTGTATTGATCATGCTCACATACAGGCGCTCACTAAGGCAGCGTTTCTATAATTGCTACCGCACATGCGAAATTTAACGAGTGTTCGAATGGTTATCGCGGCGGCGCTTGAGGTTGACGCACGCAGGTTCAAACTAGTGCGACGTCGCTGTTTTGCGGCTATCAGCGGCATCAAAATTGCATGTGTGTAAGACTGCGGAGTAAGACTATTTAAGACCATTAGATCAATCCGCGAGCTGCCGCCAGAGTTGGCAATTTTTCGTGATGTGTGCCAACTTGGCGGCATCTATGATGCCACTAGGTAGGGTAGATTACTACCGCCCCAGGTAAGCAAAAAAATATAGCCCGAGGATTTGCCGAGCCACTCTGCCTTTCTGCCTTTACTCTGCCTTTTGATTGTATTGCACATGCTGTTCGGTACATATTCTAAAAGTGAGCAGCCTTCTCTCCCATAATGCCCAATGAGCAAAATTCAGTACCTTTACAGTTCCCATCAACACATTTGTTGCCTGGGCCGCAGTCGATAGTCGTCGTACACTTCTGCGCAAAGCAGGCTAAAATCATTAGTTTAGGCATATTGTTAGCTTCAGTCTTCTTAACCTTTGCTAGATTATCTTACCGCTGATTACTAGGGCAAGCAAGACGAAGACAGCCTTCATGCTGGTGATAGAATGAGAGTTGTTCGAGTGAAGATGAAGCCTAATCATGGCATTATATATCATGGGGACCGCTGGCGCATGCGATTATCGAGATGTGGTCCTCTCAAGTATGCCACGTACTTGCACATGACCACAATGTCAGATACCGAAGCATAACATGCAAATTGTTGTGTTGGTTGGAGAGAGTGCGATTTGAGACTTGCGATTATGCATCGCGTCTTGTTAATGAAGTTGCAAGCGAATGCGTTCAAATTCTTGCATTCTTTATCTCACTTGAATTTTTCGAATGCTACATTGAGAATCTGAAGACCGTTGCTGTCAAGAGCAGCCGAACAATCGTAGACGTTCTACGGAGAACTGTCTGCTAACATTATACAGAAGAATTACCACAACAAATCATACGCGATCGATTCTTTTTATGCAAAGAAAGACTCATATAGAGGAAGAGAAAGAAAGAGACCGTTGTGAAGGTGTAGAGGCTAAGGGTGCCTTCATACCGCGCCGGCAGCCGCCGCTAGCAGCCCGTAGCAGCCGCAGTAGCCGCCAGCAGCCCGTGGCAGCCCATAGCCGCCGCTGGCCGCCTTTGTTTAGGAGCAAAATCGTCAAAATCTTACTACTTTAAGTGCTCCTGCCTACGCTTTTCATCTTCTACGCTTAGTTCTTCTTATTATCGCTAACTAGCTGGCTTACCCGGCTCCGCCGTATGTTCCGAATAGAAAAGAATTCCATTTCTGAACCGATCGGGACCAAACTTGGCACACAAACACTTCGGGCCCCGGCGGGTGCCACAGTCCATTTTTCGTTATCGATCGATTTCGATTTTATCGATTTTTTGCAAAATTTGAGCTAGGGGGCTGGAATTTGGCAGGGGGTGTAATCGAGCATGCTGATCACTCCCACGGGGGTGATCAGCATGCTCGATTACCCCCATGTGCCAACTCCCAGCCCTGTAGCTCAAATTTTGCAAAAAATCGATAAAATCAACATCGATCGATAACGAAAAGTGGACTGTGGCACCCGCCGGGGCCCGATGTGTATGTGTGCCAAGTTTGGTCCCGATCGGTTCAGAAATGGAATTTTCTATTCAGAACATACGTACAGACAGACAGACAGACAGACATACAGACAGACAGACATACAGACAGACAGACAAACAGACATTCAGCTTTATATATAAGATATGCAGTTCAACTCAACACAATTCATTTGTGTTTATTGTCCTGTTCCGCACATTGTATGCTATCGCGCTCACATTTTTTTGCAATCTGTCTTATTTGAAAAGATGTGAGCGATTAGATGACTAGATGACTTTATCATTATAATATAATGAAAGCGGCCAGCGGCGGCTACGGGCTGCTACGGGCTGCTGGCGGCTGTTACGGGCTGTTACGGGCTGCCAGCGGCGGCTGCTGGCGCGGTATGAAGGCACCCTAAGATTGGAAGACTAAAGTCAATCGTAGTCCAAAGCTTTGCTGCGACTTTAGTATACGACTTATAGCTTTTCATTACTTTGTGCGAAATCAAAAACAGCTTCTCCGAATAAAATGTTGTTTTTCTTTTTTGAACATGTTGGATGTAAGTTTCTTTATAGTATTTATAGTATTTTCAAAGTGAGGATGAGCGACATGAACAAGGAATATTTACGGCTTGACTTTTACTACCAACTTCTCAAGACAGCAGCTTCAGCGATAAGGTTTCTGTTTATATGTGACGTATATAATCAACTTTCCAATTTGGAAAATGTTTTTTCTGTGCAGCTCGTCTATTTCAACACAAAAATCTGATTTCTACACATCAAAATCAATCGCTTTGGAGAATCATTCCTTCCACTTTTTCAATTGCATTAGTATCGTCTTATCAACGATTTGATAACGATGCGTGTATGATTGGAGCCTGTTGATGGCTTATCAATTTTATTGTATAATGTGAATTGTTACAAGCGGGATACATACACATCTTGTCATTGACATTCACCAGAACATAGTCAACACAAGTTTTGCTTATTTACCAACGGCACGCTTCTTATGAGCCAGCAATGCAAACAAAAAAGTTTGAAGGTTTCTATGTAAAGAGGCCAAAGAGACTATTCTCTTGTTAGTCTAGCTTTGACAAATAGAAAAGACTTATACTTTCATAGAACAATGCTAGATTACACGTTGGACAACCACCTTTGCAAAAACTGAACGAATTGAGCTACGAACTTCCGTCACCCTCTCAATTATCAACTTCTTCCCAACAACTCACTTTTCTTTTCCGAACTCTTCAGCATGGAAAACGTCCAGAGACTAGAAGTCTGCCGAGAATCCTGGGGCGCCATGTAACAATCACCACATCGTGCGCTTCCTCGTGATCGGGCCGTTACACAATCTGGTACAAGCACCTATTCGTGATAGTTTCATTACCCTATATCCTGTGTCACCCTTTGTAATTCGTTGCAAACTTTTTCTATCAATAACGTGTAATCTGGTGAAATGCTCAGATTATATTCGACGATCGTGTTATCCTCGACAGCGATCCGACTATATACAGGGTATCCCAAAAAATGTGCTTACTGAGTGATTGCTGATAAGTCTCTTGTCATGAGGTCTTTGGAGAAGCTTAAGGTACCATTTTTAGAGCTGGCTTCAACTTAGATTTGCAGTATGAAGCAAGTCGCCGACCGCTCCTCGTTACTGTTAATATACGGTAGAAACTTTGAAGAGAGTCTTAAACCATGGAAAGCCATATTTTCTTCAGAAAGGAAGCAAAGCGATCTACAAACTCTATAGTTAGGCTAATCAGAGTTGCTGATCATGGATATGGATTTTGCATCTTATCATAATGGTTCCTCAAAAAGTTATGCCAGCAGCGGCGAAATGTGATTACACCTTTTGAAAGGCTTCACAATCTTTTACAAAGTTGAGAACCAAACTCAGCGTCTATGAAAAACGCAACACATAATTTTTTAATTTTTTTACAACGGCAGCGTTCTCACATTGTTGCCATATGGCCAAGCTTCTCGAAAGGCTTCTTGACAAGAGAATTATTATCAGTCAAACAGTAGGTACATTTTTTGGGGCACCTTGTATATACCTACGGCTAAACAAGCAAATGCTACGATGATTTTCACCAACGAGGCATTCGGGATAGGCTTGGTGACATCGCGCAGCAAATGCCATTTCGGTAAAGAGCGACGATGGTAGAGAGAGATCGCAGAGCCCACTACTTTTTTCCATCTATGCCTTACATGTGTATGATCAAATTAGTATGTGTTATACCCGTTTTTTAAGCCGTTAAATTCGTTTAAAAAAGCATTTTTTTATTTTCTCACATAAAAATCAAGTCTTTCGCTTTGCGCGAATCCAGCAGACGCATAAAAATTATTGCGTTTGTATTATCAGTTGCTTATGAACTTGGGATATCTGTTACATCTAAAATACCGTTCCAAGGTCCACTCTTCAGGCTTCTAGAGCAATTTAAGATGAACAGGTTTTTTTTTAATTTTAGATGAGTGACCCCTACAGCTTACAAGACTCTTACATGGAAATATCGAATCGAAAAATTTGTTCCTATAAGATTATGGGGTCCTCTCTGCTGGTAACAGACGTGCGATTGAATCCAATGCTGGAACTTTCTCTTCCTTGAGTTGATCTACAAATTTTTTGAAAGACAAGTCGGTCGAGGTTAAAGTTTTGAGAATAAGAGTTTCGAACGTGATCGAAGACTTTTGTTTTTCATGTGAACATAAACACCTTGTAGAACTTGCTTTACTTTCTCAAAAAGTAGCTTGGGACTCAATAAGAGAAGGAGCAGAAGGCTTGCTTGATTATAAGCAACCTGGCAAGTGGTTGTAGGCGGTCTTTTTAAGCGGCAGTGTTTAAAACGAATGTTTGACCATTGCAAGTTACTTTTATAAACAAATAAAAACGCATTTTTAATGTTCATTAACTGTTCCAATTCATGTTATACTTGATAACAAATTGACTACGGTTTGAGTGAAACATGGCCGAGTACTTAAGGATAACAGATTTGTCCAACTTCGATCTTGCTATTTTTGTGAGAAGTTGTACGCATTTAGTTTAGTTTAGTTAGGCTCTAACATCTAAGATACTTCACAAAGGCGGATCCCATGTTATTATACAAAACTCTATTCAAGCAAGCAGTAAATATTTATAAGAGTAGCCATATTCAGTTTAAATGAGCTTGCAAACAGTGTCATTTAGGAAACAACACATGTACAATAAGAAAAAAAATGAAACCAATGTAGGAGGAGACACTGAGTAAACTGAGTTAATTTAGATTGCGTTGATATGTAGAAGACTCAATAGAGATATGATAGAAATAATAAAATCGAATAGAAGAATAGTCGTAACTCAGAGTTGATGATGTACGTTTAGCGATTGTGAGAGTGAATATATATGAAGATAATACAAATCAAATGCGCTTGTCATAATAGTTTTCTGAAATTGCTGAATAGACTGATTTAAGTAGATAAGGGTTTACATTTTCAATCCAAAACAAAAACTTCTACCATTTGAGTCAACTTGTGGTCATTTTCGCAGAACGATGAATTTTGAATTTGCCTTCAAAATAGAAAAACGACATTGACAGTGGGATTACAGGCTTAACCTTGGCAAAACTTGGTAAGCATTCATTATAAATTTCATTTGCATTGCAACTACGTCCATCTGTTGGGCTAAATTTTCGCACACATTTGTTTTTTTTGTTGAAAAATGCTTTTTGTTTGACAAAAAGGAAAACACTCTAAAGTAAGAATTTAAAGCCTTAAAGTACACACAAAAAGGTTCAGAAAGGAGCACTATTTCGGTTCTAAATAGCAAATCTGGAAAAAAATTTTGCAAAGTCAATGAGATTTCGTGGGTTGAGAGAAGCCGGCTTCCTAATGTAAGTCGATCGGCCTCTAACCCTAATGATCAGATGTTCATCACGATAAAGGAGATATCTTCAAAATGGACTCAAATCAGTGTCGAAAGTGGACACTATTTTCTATTGAAAGATTAGAGATGACATATTCATATAACAATCTC